TTTACTTCCGAGTACCACTTACTTTTACAGCATCAAATAACATAGCTGATGATCAAGTGGCTATAAATGTTACAACCTGTGTAAACGCTGCAAATGTCTCCTTAAAAGGATATATAGACCGAAGTGCTCCAAACATAACTCAAAACAAAACCACATACCAAATTAACCAACAGTCTTCATTGGAGAAGAAGTCATGCTGTGGTGGGGATATACCGCCGCCCTGCTGTGCCGTTGGCTCAATCAAGGTTTCAAATACTAGTTGCAGTAAGGATTGTCATTTCTATTTTGAAAGAAATAAACATTCCACCAATAAAATGATACACACGGTTTGTGCAGTGGTATTAGTACTAAATGCAAGCGCGGTAAAATTCCCAAAAGTGTTCTCGTCCCTAAATCCCTCTCCTTGACACTGGACAGAATCTTGGTTTTTTTTTTCTCTCCAACGTTTTAGACAAATTTTGTCACTTTTTCAGGTTGTTTGCCCGGATTTCACCACGTTACCGGCCGTTCGTGTGTTCCTTGTCCATCTGACACTTATCAGGATGAACAAGGACAAAAGTCCTGTAAGACTTGTCCAGCTAATACAGTAACATTTGGTAAGACAAGAATGACACACAAGGCCAACTGCACAGGTATGGGCAGCCACAAAACTGCGCTAAGGTTCGTTTGACTTTACATACACCTTTCCTATCCTATCAAACATTCGAGATTGCTTCGTTTTCTTTTTTAAATGTAGTTTTCCTGCTTGAAAACATCAACAACGAAAAGATAGTCGCGAATGTTACTTTTACTACAGTTCTGACTTCCCTTCCTAACAATGTCCTCGTCCCTTAATCCCTCTCCTTGAAAAATCCTTTGACACTGGACAGAATCTTTGTGTTTTTTTCTCAAACGTTTCAAACAAATTTTGTCACTTTTTCAGGTTGTTTGCCTGGATTTCACTTCGTCACCGGCCGTTCGTGTGTCTCTTGTCCTTCTGACACTTATCAGGATGAACATGGACAAATATCTTGTAAGACTTGTCCAGTTAATACAGGAACATTTGGTAAGACAAGAATGACAAACCAAGCCAACTGCACAGGTATGGCAGCAACAAAATTGCGCTAAGGTTCATTTGACTTTTCATACACCTTCCTTTCCTATCAAACATTTGAGATTTGCTTCGTTTTCTTTTTAGATTCAAATCCTCTGCAAGTTAACGACCAAGTAGTTTTCCTGCCTAAAAACATCAACAACGAAACAATAGTCGCGAGTGTTACTGTTACTGCAGTTCTGGCTTCCCTTGCTCGACCATTTAAGTTTTACATAGATAATGTCACACAGCCACGACTGCTGTCACGCGAGGTGTCAAGGCGAAAGCGGCGTCGTATTGAAGTTGATTCTCAGTGTACACACCCTGAGCTCTGTCCTCAAATGTTAGTCGATCTCTGTTTTAAGGCAGGTGCCGTCAAACCAGAAAATTATTTCTGCATTCATCGATTCACTGGACGAATAAGGGTAACGCAAGACTTTGTCTTCAAGCAAGGTGAAGTATTTGATTTACAAATACGCGTGACGGACAGCGACCCAAGGGGAATAACCGTAAACACAGCCAAAGTCAAACTCATTTCTGGTGACCCGTGTAGGAACGTCCAAGCGATTTATGATGAAGCCGTGAAATATTGCATCAAGAATTCAGAATCTGTGGATGGAAGAAAGAAGTGCTTGAGTACTCAGTGCACATTGACTGCCCATGATTGGAAAGAGGCACTTAACAATGCTAGTAAAGTACCAGAGAAAGACTGCTCAGCTGATCCCCATAATCTTACAGTTCTCATCCGCGAAAACCCACTTTGTGGTAAGTAGTCACGTGTTGCAGAGTCTACTCTATCTCCTCGTCTTATCACGCAACACGTGCTCTTTCTCAGAGAGCGCGTTGCGTGACCAACAAGCAAAGACTTCGAAGGAGACTGGAGTCGACTCCCAAAAACAGTAACTTTGAAGAGTATCGATGGATACAGTTTGTTACTCTCCCCTCCCCCCTTCCCTTTGCCGTCCACACTAAATGTCCGAAAACACTGATGAAAGCGACAGAGTGATGTTTTTCACGTCACCATTTTGAGAAGCACTGATCCGTTTTCACCTGTCCACAAAAGAAATTGGGCGTTTTCAAGACTCAACTTTTGAAATCGTCTTCGACAGTGTTCATTTTATTCCCTTTCATCAGGTGTTTCGGTGTGGACGAAAGAGAATGGGGCTATATTCACCATAAGCCCCAGTCTTACCGCCGTCAGACCAGTTGAGAACTGCTGACCCGTATTGCAGATTGTTAACTCTCCGAGATGTGTTTTTCACCAAAGATGTACATTTCGGATTTAATGCTGCAGTCAGAAATCCTAAATGTGCATTACTTATATCCACAATTCAGAGCTCTGTTAAGAGATCTGAATCGTCTACTGCAAAATTTATACAAGATAGATTTTCAGATCGGAAATCTAAATTGTTAACTATAGGTACTCACTTTAAATCAACTCAGTCGTTGACTTCTTTGGATTGACTCGAATTCTGCAACGTGCTTGGCAATTATAAATTAAAGTTGCTTATTGCTAAAATTTTTGCAGGGCAAACTTTAAATGCTACGTTCTCTCAGATTCCCTTATAGCATCTTTTAATCTTGAAAATATGGTATGGCAAAATCTGAACTATTTCCTTCTCATTTCAGCCGTTTATCAGTTTGTGAACGCAGAAGTGTTTCCAGTTGTTACTTCTCTTAACAGGCTAGCCCTTTACAAGTACAATTTGTGCAGTTCAATATGCGTTGTCGGATGCTGGCCTCCTCTAACTATGGTTCTGTTTTGAAAGAAGCTTCAAACTCTTTATAAACAACATTTAGTGCTTTACTCACCCTTCTAGTCTTTATTCCAATAGGTCTCTGGAGTTGTTGCTGTTGGTAAGTATGTCAACATCGAATATGGTGTACGCATGTGAGTTAGAGATTATCCACCTCTTAGATATTTGAGGCTGCTAAGGGTCGCCGCTTGGGATTTGAAGCAGCGTGCATTTTAGAGATCAAAAGCAAACTCTTTGCAAACAACATTTAGTGCTTTACTCACCCTTTTAGTCTTTTTCTTAATAGGTCTCCGGAGTTTTTTCTGTTGGTAAGTATGTCAAGATTGAATATGGCGTACACAACTGAGTTAGAGATTACTGTTTTCTCACAGTCCCACGTAGCATCTTTTAACCTTGGTAGCATGGTGATAATGGCAAATGGCAAAATTTGAA